TATTTTTTCGTCTGTGTGATTTTTATATTCTTAGGCGATTGGGATTAATATTTTGATGGGTTGTTGTAGTGTATGTGTTACTGAATGAATTTGAATTTGAAAGGGTTAATGGCCAACGGACGGGGTCAAAGGTCACATTTTTTTTTTTACCGGCACGTGTTGAGTCTGAATGGAATTCCTTTGGTCCAATATCATTAATAGGTGGTAATTTAAAAGGTATTATAGATAGACTACATAGTGTTGATTGTTATTTTTTGAATTTGTTGCAAGGTTGGGTTATTTTCTTTAGGTTTTCAATGAGCTATTTTTCATCCCGTCATATTATGTAATACCCTATCCTTTTGATAATTTCATGCAAAAATCATTTAGAAGAATTATTATGACTGTGGGGCAGTAATTGTCATGAAAAGTATTGCATAAGGTGATCCCGTGGCACTGTGCCTCTCGCTCCGGCAAAGGCCAACAGACCCTCACCGCGCCATCTATAGAAAAATAATCGCCGTTTGCTACAGGAAGCTGCGGGGGAAACTAAGAAGATAGATTTTGATATATATTAAAATGAATGAGATAAATTTTAAAAATATATTCTAGAAAAGTAGATTTCTGTAAGCGAGAAATTGCGAGGAAACTGACAGGCTCTAATTTTGCAACAATGCGAAAGTATGTAAGTATGCGAATAAGGCGAGGGAAGTTTGTTCGCACTTGCCGAGATAGACGCTCGAGGTGCTGCAGTTGACAATTTTTTTTAACACTTTTCTATACCTTTCCGTTTTTCGCAATATTTTCTACAGCAGCGAGGGATATTTTAGCTCCATTATGAGGCATTGCTGTCCATTCTTGTGATATTTGATGTGATTAAGTGTATATTGACTTTCGAAACAAAGTCCTTTTCCTAATTATATAGGCTTTGTTCTTGGCAAATCCACATCAAATGTAGTACAATTTATCATTTAAAGATCTACGTCAAGTCCCAGTTAATAGGAACGTGCAGTCGAATGTTTGCAGCGGACATTCCGGCGAAATAGAACTTGGAACGTTTCCTTCTTTGGGGATGAATTTCCAGGGTGGTTGACAAGGTCCGTTGTGGGGGAAAGTTTGTGACGAAGGTATTTTTGGTTTTTGCGAAAGTGCCGGAGGTGTGGACGTGATTTGTCGGCCAATAATCACCATACGAGTTTGTCTTGACATCGAACTTAGTAGAGAGGAAATAGTTGTTGTTGATATGTTTCTTAAAGTTGATTTATTCTTAGCTTTAAGGTAAAGAGTTACTGGATACTTGTACAAGTTGTTGATTTTAGAAAAAAGCTTTAATTCTTTACAGTTTTAGACCCATTCACCAGAGACTTAGTCCCAGAGCCCCATGCCACAAAATTAAATCCGTCTAAATTTTTTGTAACAACACGGCAAGGCAGTGTTGAAACTAAGCCTTCCGTGACCTTTTCAATTTATTTGTGCTAGTGCTGTTCATGTCCGCAGGTTATTTTTTCCATCGACGACTGCAATTTTTGTCCGTCACGAAAATAACATCTAAAATTTGCCCTTGCTTAGTCTGTCCGTAATGTAAAGTTTAATTGAAGAGACACAAACGACCCAACCTAAAGTAATCATATATATAAAGAATCATAGCATAGGCTAACCATATACAGACTAAGGAATATATTAAGGATTTACAGTAAAGGCAGTTACAGTGGTATAATTTTAGTTAACCACAGCTTGTAATAAGACCCTTATCGATGGTACTACCTTTACAAGTTGTTAATAAGGTTTTGTGCAACATATTGATATAGATTTCAGGAATATGTAATGGCGCTATAATCATGGAGAAAAAATACATTCACTTGTACATGAAATAGTCTGCGTAGGCAAAGAATATTCTCAGAAATAAAGAAAATAGGACCAGAAAATCGCCGTGTGGAAACTGAGTCCATTGCAGTTGGGTGGGGGTGTGGCGGCATAACCCCAGTCGGGAAATATGGCAGTTGGATGGCAATTTCGGTGCCAAAGCCCTCGGGTCAGGAAGATATGTGGCTCATGCAGCATTGTTTGTAGATTTCCTCGGAATGGCTGGAGTAATAGGGACCTAGTCTCCAGGCATGCTCACTCCGTTAACATTACGATTATTTTCCATTGTGATGGAAAATAACGAGACTCATGCATATTACAGTGTGGATAATTGGAAGAAGGAATGATGATTGGATGGTTGCATGAAACTAAAAGATTACCATGACATTGATGTGCAATTGATATTAGCATAATTAAAAAAAAAAAAAAAAAAAGATGTATTCATATTAACATACAAAGTACAGTTCATCAGGGAATTTTTTAATATTTGAAATCAGGATAGATGTTTCCAGCGTTTAGTTTTAAAGAAGAGGTGGTATTAGGTATATTTTGGATTCACTCATGATCGCTATAAGATTACATTACCAGGTAGATATGGTTACCATGCATATAAAATTGTCACACCCATTTAAGTTCAAAGTTTATTTTATGTTGCAGTTGTCATATAATGCAAATGAAAAAGTCGCTTAATTTTGTGAAATGGTGAAGTTTCAAGGTATCACCAAAATGATCCTCCTTCTGGCCGATTAGCGATAAGACAAACTCCTTATTTGACTCTAAATTTCCTGGGAGGTCTACAAGTAACACACGATTGCCACAGTCATATTATTATTAATATTTTCAAATTATCTAGTGTCTCACTTTGGTTTTGTAAACAATTGGGTGTTATTATTTTTTTTTTCACTCCCTTCGTCATAGAAGAAAAACGTGCCTATTAGTGCGTTGATTTCATGTGATATTTCTCTGTATGTAACAATACACCCTTTATGAATCTTGTTCTTTAATTTAATAGTAAAAGAAAAAAATTCAGAATGTTGCCCTTGGCATGCTGTTTTCATTATCATCTCATTGTTATCATCATCATATATTTATTAACGTCCTAATTTTCTCATTTCAGGCAGAATTGTCGTTAATGTCCTTTGAGGGAGTTCAAGTACAAGGTGCTGCTCAGATCATAGAAAAGATTAAGGTGAGTCGTCTCGGGTTTTATTGGTATTGCTATTATTATTATTGATGGTCATTATTATTATTATTATTGACATTATTATTATTATTATTATTGACATAATTAATGATCATTAATTGCAATGGTAATGGTGATAGTGATGATATTTATCGTCATTCGTTTATTACTTATATTAGTTTTTGTTATTTATATTACTTTTATTTTTGTTAATATCAATTATGTGTTATTATTATTGATATTGTTGTTAGTCATATTATTACTATTATTGTTGTTTTGTTATTATTATTATTATTATTATTATTATTATTATTATTATTATTATTATTTTTGATGTTGATATTGTTATTGTTATCATTATTATTATTATTATTATTATTACTAATTATTTTATTGTTTCGTTGTTTTATTATTGTTTTTAATGATAGAAATATTACTATTGATATTATTGTTCATATTTTTGTTATCAATGTTATTATTAATATTGTTATTTGTGTTGTAATTATCATCATCAATGTTACTGTTATCAATTTTCGTTTGTTGTTATTATTATTTATTTATGTATTTATTTATTTATTGTGTTTATTGATAGTAGTATTATTCTAGTTGCTTTTAATTTGGATTATCATATTGATGGTAATAATATAATCTTGTGATTTAGTATAACTGCTGTTCTTATTATTTTTATGCGTGTTATTGTTATTGTTATTACTTTGTAAATTAGTTAGGTTGTTGCATTATATAATAAAATTAATACATAAGAATATAATAAATGTTTATCATGAATAAAAGGATAACACTTAACACAAAGGAAATCATTATCACAACATCATATCATAAGATAATTATTTGAATCGTTTTAGTTAAAGGAAATTATAGTTTCCAAAACCCTCAAACTCGATCATTGCAATTCTGTCAGGAGCCTTATGCTTCAACACTGAAATGTGATATTTGGTAAAATGAGCCTTATGCTCGCTTATATAGGGTGAACCTAGTGCTCGCTTATCACAAACTCCGTCTTTTCAAATGGCTATGAGTTTGATTGATAAGTTCTTTCAAGTGACTTTGAGTTTGAGTATATTTGATGTGACTAAAATGGTTTTCAGTGAATGAAGAATTATTATTAATCATTATTATCTATATTTGTTCTGTGAATCAAAAGTTATAAATACTGAAACCTAAAAATGTTAAACCTGGTTTGACTTTGCTTGTGTTCAATAGGATCTTTATTACAAAAGCTTAGCCCTTTGGATCTGGTGCTTGGCTGTCTGCTTGCGGCCCAAAATAGGGACTTATGTGAGCAGTCACTGTGATGGGTGTGTGGCTTGTAGGCTGGGTGCACACAAACTCTTTTGCTACATGAGCATTTTTAGCTTTCTGCCATTTTTCAGTGTCTGTATTTGTTATTTGATTTGTTTCATCCAGATGGTAATAAACTATTTTCCTTGCACAAACTCTGTATCAGCTCTCAAGGTAGTCCATAACTTGGTGCAGTAATAATAGTAACAATTTTTTGTTTTTGCTTTGTTATATTCAATGTTCTGTAGCACAACTGGTCACAGTGGGCAGAAATAGTAATATCCGTAGCATGGAAATAGTGTCTTTCCTGGAGTTTTTAATCACCCTCTAAGAACTTTGTGGACTTATGGGGAGTCATCCTGGTTTTCAGTCAAAATGATCTTAAGGGCAAGTTCTCATTACTCGGGCCTACAGCCCAATTTTTTTGTGAGGGTGTGTTCACATCACAGAATGAACCCCAAGGAATTTAGATCTGTATACATGATCATGTAAAAACACACACACACACACACACACACACACACACACACACACACACACACACACACACACACACACACACACTTTTATCATCGCAGCCTATTATTCTGGTGAATAAAGCACAATGTACTACTTAATGCTTTTTTATTCAGAGTTCACATTTCTTTCAGGGTTTGAGCTTCAACAAAATTGCGAGAGCAATCACCACAGTGGACTGTCAACCAACCTTCGATGGAGGCGTTATGGTCAACATTCTAGGACAACTAAAGGTGAGACATGTAGATGTGTAAAAAAAAATTTTATATGCACACTTGAACACATACATATACATGCATACACACAAGCATGTGCATGTGCATGCACACTCGGACACTTGTGTGTGTTAGCATATATGTGCAGGCAGCTGTAGGCATCCACACATTTACATATTATAGTTATTTGAAAAAATAAATGTAATGAATGTGCTGCATGTGTATTTATAGATTGCAATATGAAATTTTCCTTATAACATATTTTTCAGTGAAGTTTCTTAATGCTGTAACATGCATTATGTAGAGCGTACCTGAGATGTGTCTAATACATGTTTTGGAAGATCAGGCTTGGCCTCGCTAATGCTCCCTCGGAAAATCTCTCGCTTTGTAGTGGATTTTGTGTTTATGTGGGATTTGTGTTATTGCAATGGGGCAGGGATGTGGCAGATTTTAAGTGTTTTGTGTTTAAGCTTTATATGTTCTACTGTTTTATTATGACAATTGTTTTTGTCATAAAATCTGTATTGCCCAAAGTGTTACTTGGTTGTTTGTTAAACCTTAGCTTTAATGTTTTTTATTTTTATACTGTTGCATTCAGTGCCCTACTACTATACTTGAGCAACCTAGATGAGCCTCACCTCAAGTGAAATGCAATTAGATTTTATAGATCATGTGCTTGTCAGATCCATAATAGGAAAATGCAAATCAGTGCCTTTGTTGGTATTCAGTATTTTAAAATTTATTATGACATTTTTGAGTCCTATCCAATATCCCATAGTTTACCTGATAAAGAGACTGGGTTGATAATAGTAGGCTTTTAATGATTACATTCCATATGTTAACCTTTTGCCCCTGTAAGTGTTTTCGTTAGAAGGATTAGGGCCATCATTACTACCAAATTTGGCTGACTTGCATTAATGAGGTGTATCTACATAATTGCCAAAGATACTGTGCACAAGATTTGCATTAGAATTGAAGATATCCTTCCACAGATCTCAGAATGTGAATAAGTTTATAAAGATAACTATATCTGAATAATAAAAAACGATCTACAGGTATTGTTACATAAAAACTACACAGCTCTACTGGGGGATCAATACCAGCAACATAAAGGCTATCTTGAATAATTTATGGGATGTTTTTGTTTGTCTTGCATACTCAGATGCCTATTGATTTGATTTGCGTTATAGTTCCAAGATTATTTTGTGATATGCGAGTTGATTAGTAATATTTTTCCTTTATAGATTACACAAAAAAATATTGAAAATTGGCTTTATGATTTAGCTGATTTGTTTCTTTAGGTATTATTGCCCATAGTTGAATTAACAAAATAGTTCTAGTTCTTATTGACTTGGACTAATTTATGCTTTAACTTCTTAACAGTTTGTCATTTTAGAACAAATGATTGCATGCTATCATGATATCGCCTTGGTTTCCTTTTCAGACAAATGTTTGAACAAATAGATCAAATATATAGTATATATTTTATATAAAGTAAAGAGGATGAAAATGAGAAATCTGAATTTATTTCATGAGATGGATTTACAGTCAAGCTACTTGGCCATTCTTAATGTTTGAATTCTAACTCCAAGTGGTAATCCCTTTCATGAAGACTTCAAGGATCAAAGATTGAAATGTGTTTTTTTAGCAAGAAATTAATTCTGTAAAGAACAATTTTTCAGGAATGGATTTTTTAATGGGAAAACTGATGTGAATCAATGCATATAATTAACTCATTGAATGTGAGATGATAAGCCATTGATGCTTGCCTGCCGTATGTGTTTGTGATATTATGTTTACATTAAGGAAAAATACAAGATGCATAGATTGCATTTTAATGAGTTTAAGAGCATTATGTCTGGTTAGAATCTGGCTCAGCAATGTCATGGACTAATTATAGTTGAATGTTACCTATTTGGAAAGTTATAATACTATAGATACCTAGAACATCAGATTGGATTTGGCCTATGCTATTTCAGCTGAAGACAAGTTTTTTTTTTTTTTTTATGAAAAGGAGGAAAAAGAGATTGTAGGTCCAGTGTAAGAGCTTGTGGCACATTCACTAATTAAACAAATTTAAGTAACTGCAATCTAGAAAAGTAATAAATTGTCATTAATTGTATTTTTCAAAAACCTCCAAGTTTAGTAAATGTGATTTAATGTCTAAATGCCTATGTTCTCCGTAAGTATTTGATTTTCCATCTGTTTTTCAAATGTATATTTCCTGAGTGATGTATGTAAAGATTGGTAATTACTGTGATTATGCATGTGCACGTATGTCATATGTTGTGGTTTCTATCTTTTCGTAAATAGATTTTGGCGATCTAGTAACAGGCAGATTTCAGGGCACTTAATTCACTTGAGTATTCAGTATTCATCAGTAGACTAACATCTATTCTTGCTCTCCCAGAAAAGAAATATTAAAAGTAATGATTAAATCAAATTTAGTAAGACAAAGGGAATTTGTGATTGGATGTCCACAGTATCTTCAGCATCACAGACGGACATTTTCGCTCCTCGCAACTCATTTGTTTTTCCCCCTTGAATCTTTCCACTTGCGGTGGCTGGCACTCGTGGTTGGCACTCGCGGACTCACGATTGGCCAGATGGACGACGACCCTCCTCACGGGTTCAATCAGACGTTTGTGCTCAAGCCCCTTGGCGACAGTTTCTTCGTCCAGCATGACTTCTTTCGCCTGGCCCTTCATCACATTGCCATATGAACATTGGTGCGAGGTGCCAGGCAAGGATGAGGCAAATGCGCCATAGTCACCCCTCTGCTGCATCTCTCTCTTGTAAGGCACATGTGTGTCGCTCAGAGCTGGTGTGGCATGCTGGTTGAGATTTTTTTTTTTTTCATTATTATTATTATTGTTTTATTTTTATTATTATTATTATTATTATTATTGTTATTGTATTTATTTTTTTATTATTATTGTTTGTAATTGACTGTTTGATGTTTGGCTTGTTTTTCTTTTATTAGTATGTTGTTTTGTTTTGAAAGAGCAAGGTAGTAATTGCAGAAACAGTTTACTACTAGTTAGCGAAAATTTAGAGATTTTCAGGATACTGTGTGCACTAATACTTCTTTGCTTGTTGCAGTTATGTTTGTCATAGCTGCCCTTGAGTATCTTCCAAGTTTATTTTACATTAAAGGAACTTGCACCAAATCTTGATTTACTATGTTTAAAAGTACAAGTTTGGAATGATGGAAATTTACAAATCTTTTTACTAATATACAGTATTTACATAGATACGCGCACACGCACACACACACACACGCACACACACACGCACAAACGCACGCACAAACACACGCACAAACACACGCACAAACACACGCACAAACACACGCACAAACACACGCACAAACACACACACAAACACACGCACAAACACACGCACAAACACACGCACAAACACACGCACAAACACACGCACAAACACACGCACAAACACACGCACAAACACACGCACAAACACACGCACAAACACACGCACAAACACACGCACAAACACACGCACAAACACACGCACAAACACACGCACAAACACACGCACAAACACACGCACAAACACACGCACAAACACACGCACAAACACACGCACAAACACACGCACAAACACACGCACAAACACACGCACAAACACACGCACAAACACACGCACAAACACACGCACAAACACACGCACAAACACACGCACAAACACACGCACAAACACACGCACAAACACACGCACAAACACACGCACAAACACACGCACAAACACACGCACAAACACACGCACAAACACACGCACAAACACACGCACAAACACACGCACAAACACACGCACAAACACACGCACAAACACACGCACAAACACACGCACAAACACACGCACAAACACACGCACAAACACACGCACAAACACACGCACAAACACACGCACAAACACACGCACAAACACACGCACAAACACACGCACAAACACACGCACAAACACACGCACAAACACACGCACAAACACACGCACAAACACACGCACAAACACACGCACAAACACACGCACAAACACACGCACAAACACACGCACAAACACACGCACAAACACACGCACAAACACACGCACAAACACACGCACAAACACACGCACAAACACACGCACAAACACACGCACAAACACACGCACAAACACACGCACAAACACACGCACAAACACACGCACAAACACACGCACAAACACACGCACAAACACACGCACAAACACACGCACAAACACACGCACAAACACACGCACAAACACACGCACAAACACACGCACAAACACACGCACAAACACACGCACAAACACACGCACAAACACACGCACAAACACACGCACAAACACACGCACACACACACACACACACACACACACACACACACACACACACACACACACACACACACACACACACACACACACATACATACATACATAATTACATATTTACATACAAACATACATGAATTCTTTAAACTTTCTTAACCCCTTGGATCCGGGTGCTTTGCTGCCCGCATGTGGCCTACTTTAGCTTACTTAAGCGGCTGCTCTTACAGGTGACTGGCTTGTAGGCTGGATTCAAATGAATGCCCATGTGTGGTGGCAAGACTCCTTGTCTCCCCTTTGCAATCTTATAAACTTTTTTTGTGTGTTTTTGCCATTTTCCAATGTCTATATTTATATGCCAGATGGTAATAGACTGTTTTCCTTGACTCCATATCGTCTCTGTAGTTGACAATAGAAAATAACAATAAGAAGTAACATTTTGTTATTTGTGTAATTTAAGATTCTTTTGTAATATTTAATTTTCTGTAGTACAACCTGCTCTGCCAGTCTCGGTAGACAGGAAGAGGTCCTTGAGCCTGGAAATATCCTCCCCTCTAGTCATGGCTCATGGATGGTACATTCCCTTGTTTATCGATGG